GACAGCCTATGAAAAGGCACAAGAAGCTTCTGATGTTAGAGATCAGCGGAACAGAAAGATTGTCCAGGTGAGGGTGAGTCATCACTGGTGTGGGACAGAAGGCCCGTATATTACAGCGGCCCTTGCGGGGGTAGCGCTACATATATATATACATACATACTGGCCTTTACCGGTCATTTGTGAGTGCATACATTTCCCCTTTTCTGTCCTCTGGTGTCACTTAGGTTGTTGCGCTCTTCTCTTGTTTTTTGTTATCTCTGTAGCACGTTTTCCTCTGCTTCCACACCAAAAACATCTATCTCTGCCCCTTGGGAACCCTGTTTCAGTGTGCTGAGGGATTTTTACTGTATAAATTAATTGAAATGAACAGTAGAGCATGAGAAGGAGGTTGCACACCATGCAAACGTGAAAAGGGTTACAGTGCCATGAAGAAGCTTTGCATTTAGTGAACTTCATAACTGCACCACAGTTGCAATGTTTCCTGCATTTGCAGCTCAGCATTGGTTTCCCACTTGTGGTTTGATGTTGCTTTTTATTATCCACTTCCAGCCCCAAACACCACGCGCATTAAAATGCTGCCGGCACCATCTGCCTTCAAAGATTACATTGTCATTAGACAAAATTAAGCTTTTTGCAGTCTACTTTTTTTTTTTTTTAATGCTGATGATTTTTTTTGGTCTCCTTACAGCAAGCTGTCAAGATCAGATTTATCCCTGCTGTTGCTGAGCCAGTCAGCTGGAAGTAGACTTCAGGCACTGATCCCCCCACACTCGCCCCTACACAGTCCCAGACCAAACCCTTTTTCGCCTGTGAAAGATGAGAACATTTGGCTTCAATTGGAAGGATAGTTGGCAGCCCTGAACGCTCAGCCTGGATTTTTAACGAAAGTGAGAGAAAGAGAAGACTTAGAAAGAGCAGTGGTGGGGAGGCAGTGCAGCTGAAGTCAGACAGATGGGACTATATTATCACTAGACAGTAACAGAGTCATCTGCAATCACATTGAAGAAGACAAAACAACATAGATTAGGAATTCAGATGAAATGCATGGATGTTTAAGCAGGAAAGCGCACACTAGAGAGAAATGGGAATTATGCAAAGTATTTTCTGTTAACCGGCAGCTGATAGAGCGATAAGAGTCACAAAGCCCATAGTCAGGCTCTAGCAGAAGAGTTTAGTTACACAGCATGGATGGCCAAAGAGTGGAGGATGCCGGGAGTGGACAGAGGAGGCTCATCTGGATAATTCTTGGCCCAGTTCTGCTGATGGCACTAGTTGCTGGAATTTTCACTGCTTCCACCATAGCACAAAGGAAGACACAGGTAAGAGTTGGCCCCGAATTGGGATCCTCTTGAAATAGGTCTAAACCCAATCACTAAAATTTGATAAGCTTTAATGTGTGTGGTTTTCAATACCTTTAAATACGCAGCCTTTGTTAAACAAAACAACTAATCATCCTGCAATGAAGGTCCTCATTCAGGAGCTACCAGTTATGGGGTGGGGTGACAACTTATTTCCCAGTTGTGCTACTGCATTGTCACCCTGCCACATGCTCCCCTGGTGGAGACTACAAGTGGTCATGCTGACACACACTGTTTAGGCAAAATCCTATATATATATATATATACATATATATACATATATATATATATATATACACATATATATATATATATATATAATATATTTTTTTTTATATATATATATAATAGCTTCATAGCTTCATCTGTCCGGGAATAGGATTGTTCATTGGGGCGCAATATCTCCAATTTTGGTCTCCTGAAAAACATAAAGGAAATCAGTTTATTTGAACTTTTCCAAGAAAATTAAAGGTGTAACTTGACTGTTTTGTGTAATGAGCGGGTTCCATACTGATTTATGTTTTATGTTCCATTTTTAATAAATCTGGGTTAGTAGTTAATTGTATAATTCTATAGTAATGCATAAACATGCTGTAGCTCTCTGCCAGCACTGGCAACAACAGGTTTAGTTACACAGTGCAAAGATGAAATGTGAATACCTACTAACAGGAACCAGAATTTCAGTGTGGGTAGATGAAGGATAACTTTTGATTGGTCAGCGTGAGCTACTGTACTCTATTATTCTTTGCACTTGAATGACACCTTGAAGGGAAAACTGCCACTGTAATTATGTATTTATGTTTAAATATGTTGTTGCAGTTTTAACAATCATGAAAAATGCTGGAAAATAATGTTTTACAATAGAAGTACTATCAGGATACTCTGGTTTGAGATGTTTGTGTAGTGTTATTATAAAAGTTTCTAGAACTTAATGTTAACTTTAAATTTGCAAAGACATTCCAGGGGCATCATAACAAAAGGTGTTGAAAGTCTTACAGTTAATTTTCTTTAGAAAGCAACCACAAAATCTGTGTGCTTGTAGGGAAGCAGTGGTCTCTCTGCAGAAGCCTGACATGACTTCTGCTCTCCTGTTGAGTCTGAGCTAAAGCTCTTCAATCAGTAGGGAGCAGGGGTGGCCCTAGACTATTCGCCACCTGAGGCTGGGGGGCATGTTACGTGGGGATGGTGGTATGCTAATGATGCACGTTACAGGGGGTGGGTAGGATGAGTTAGAGTGGGTCGGGAGATCATTTAAGAGCTCTAAGCAACCTGTGACACTCTGGCCGCTGTCCTGCCCAGCTTGTGGCAACCATAGACATCACTGGTTGCCACGAGCTGAGCGGGACACTCTGCCAGAGTCCAACTCAGTTCCTGGCAACCAGTGACATTACTGGTTGCCGCAAGCTGGGCAGAACACTGGCTGGAGTGTCGCGTTCAGCTCCTGGCAACCAGTGCAGTCAGTGGTTGTCACAAGCTGGCCAGGACAGCGGCCAGAGTGTCACAGGTTGCTAGGAGCTCTTATGTCACTTTTTCCCAGATGGATTCCCCAATATTCTGTTTAGTATGCACGTAGTTACATAGGTTGCAAAAATAAAAAGCAAGGCACATAATGCATCGTCCAATCCAGTGGCGTAATTCCAGGGAAGAAGATTCCTTCCTGTCCCTTAGTGCAAATTAGACAACCCTTCTGCATATCTGCTGATTCAGTAGTCATGTTCCCTAATGGGATAGGCACTTAATAGGTGTACAGGGGTGGACTGACAACACATGGGGCTCCGGGCAATATGAGTTTATGGGGGGGGGGGGGTTGGTGACACCACAATGACTGACAGCCAT